GCTTAAACTTTGGGCTACCGAAAATTTTCCAACAACATTCCATCAGATTCTTTCCTTCCAGTTTGTTTAAATCTTTTAGATAAATCTTCTAAACGTGGCATGTACTCTTGCACGTTTTAAATAAATTTTCAAACTGTCATTTCTCACGCTACGAAGAAGGAAAAAAACCTTGCGCCGGATGGAAATGGACTTATAAATGCTCAAAAATACAGCACATTACTATTCCTAGGATACCTACGTGGAAATTTAGATTTTTGTACCGGTTGACTGAAATAGCACCACCACCGCCAAAACTACATTCCATTTTGTCTTCATTCCCAAGTTCGCGTCAGGCGCTAGTGTAACACCAGCTGCTCGTTTCATATTAATGCCTTTATTACTGTTATTATTAAAACTATTTAGATGCAGTAACTATTTCTTTTAAAAATATTGTACAGGAAGTAAATTTGTTGAGATATTACAGGCTGAGAATTCCAAACTGCCACACATTGTTTGGAATAAAGCTATCATCAATATTATTGTTGTTGTTAGTAGTAGCAGTAGTAGTATTACTATTATTATTATGTAAATACGAGTGCCAACATATCAAGCTAAAAGCATTCTCAATTACTCCAAAAAATATACGTTTACAGGGTCATCCTCATAGACAGTTCGGGTCACCATGTTCAAGTGGTTATTGTCGGCTGGTATATTACAGATTAGTTAGAAACATAACCATATGAAAAAAATTAAATGGTTAGTGCATACTTCCTTTCAGTTACCACTGCAAATCACAAGTAGCTAAAGACTTTGTTCAGGATAAAATCACATAAACATGTACTGAAAAAAATACGAATAAGGTAGCAATAATGTATACAGTTCAACGGAAGATCCACTTCTTAGAAGTTTTCAACGTGAACTTGATTCCATATTAAATTGTTTGTTTGATATAGCACAACGTGGTACAGTATTACTTACTGGATGACGTCTCCAGAAGAATGTATTCCTCATAACCATATTGAAGTAAATAATACCATATCAGTGTGTACTATATCAAATAAACAATGTAATAAAGAATTATATTTTAACACAGTTCTCAAGTTGCGAAATATAAAAAAAAACACACATGTGAGTATTCAAATTGCCGCTTACTTAAAGAGTGAAGAAATTAATTAGGAACTAAGTGAAAAGTATGTAAGAGTTGTTACATCAAACTAAGTACACACATTCAACTAAAAGCTACCTAACATGCTCATATGGACGATCATAACCTGAACAACAAGTAGTTTTTACTATATTTGGTGATTTCCAGATGAACTTTCGCTCAGACAATATCAACACTTCCGGTCACACCGGGTATTTGTTAGGAAAATAGGTTGAAAGCCCACGAATCCTTGGTCTAAATTCCATCTCAAAGCACTTTGCCGGTCTCATTTAACATCCCCCGATAGAATGATAGTTTGACAATCATATGGGGGCGATATGAATACAAAATGTTTTCTACCAAGATACGTTGGTTTAATGTAGTTTTCTCATAGACGAGAATGAATCGTAAACAGTTAATATGGTAAATAGACGTCTATTTTACACCCTAACTATTGATCAACAGTCACTTTGTTGTCAAGGATTAAAAAAGTGGGTTTAAATAATCTGCAAAGTAGGCTAAGCTACGAAGTTTCAAGATAACGACGCTGTGTCGGCTACAGTAAGAGCAAACGTAGTTGCAAACAAATAGATTCATGACTCATTAAAAGTAGTGTGGTAAGGAATTTGGGTCGGTAAGGTTCACTCTTAGTCTCGAAGTGTATTCAAGCGGGTATGAATTTATAGCATCCCCCGGAATTTCCTTCACTACCTTCATGTGGTAAGGGTAAATGGAGAAAAGCTGATCTCATTTGCTTATCGTCGCACTAACATATACGGAAGTTTCACAAATAGAAGTCACTCAATTTTGATTTCAAACCACTTATGCAAACCAACTTCAAAAAGGAACAACGTATGATCGGACTTTGACCACTGGTAACTTTTCCAATGCAGCTTTTGGAAATGCTCCATCTTCTTGCAGATTAAAATTCAAGTCCAAATTTTTTCTCAAGACAATCCGTAACATGTGAATAGCGCTTTACACCTCAACTAAAATCCAACATGACACTACAGTGACATGGGCATTTCTTGATGTTCACTTTTTGACGAGTTCGCTAAATACATAAATATTAAGCCTCTATATTTATTTGTCTGAGATTAGTAAATGCAAAATTTGGACGAGAAGACGGATGAAGAGGATTTAAATCCCAAATCTCAGAGTGTACTGCCATTATATCAGTCAAGTAAAGAGTACCTCTTAGCAACCTCATGACTAAGTTTGAAGTCAACTAAACAAACGCCATGAATAAAACAAACTGTAATTCAAGTCTGTGTTGGGACTAGTTACTACGTTTCACAAATTGATGCGAAGCACTGAATTTCTATAAAATATTTTAGCGGTTGAAAGCGGCGAAAAGATGATGCTCAGGTGTCTTAAAATGGCAAGGAAACATATTTATAAATTATGAACCTCATTTTTAAATATGATAGTTTAGTTCGAAATGACTTCTGGCATCCGATATAGCCAATAACTAGGTAGTGTTCCCCCAATAGTTGTTAACTGTCCGATCAAAAATGCCCCACTCCTGTGTACTTGTCAGACAAATAAACGTTCAAAAGCTAGGGTAGTTAAATGACATGTTGAACATTCTTACTACCCGCTCAACTAAAACTCAAAGAATGAATGAAGAGAAAAATAAACGAACAGTCTTAGAACATGAGATCATTTATTACACAAAGTTTGATTTAGCGATTTGTGTAATCAGCTGTTACTGTCATTTACCTCGACGTGCTATGTTACCTGAAGTAGGATTACTATTCATTACGTGTATTTAAAACATTTAATACAACATTGGTACCATGAAATGAGTCATACAAAATAACATAATATTTGCAAGAAATACGTGGTATAACAGAAAAACAAAATCAATATAGAAGTTCAAAAAGAAGTGAATCGGTCCCAGTTGCCACACTTTACAGAACCATGAAAAGAACAAGAAGATAAAAAAGTAATATCAAAGTGAAAAAATGAGTACATAGAGAGGAGGAATTTAGCAGTCAAGGTTAGTGAAAATGTCCAAAGTTTAGTCGAAGTCAAATGGTGAATAAATCTGCACCATTGAGAACGATTTTTGCAACATTTCACAAAGAGGACCTCAACCAGGCGGTCCACACATCTCCCTACACGGATAAGATCAACAGTCGGAGACTTCATGGACTGGTGCCGCGTCTTAGTCTAGAAATCTTGAGCTTACTTCCACCCCGGTCCTAGTCCGCTAACATTGTACATCGAGGTAAGCTGCGGCTCGGCATGCGCAACACATGTTCGCGCCAATTCATTCAGTAGGGAGCCCACAGACACATTTGCTGACTTTTATTCGTTGCCTAATACTCTTCACCTAACCTTGACATTGTTAACATGGTAATTCTACCATGTGAGCAATGCTGCGAAGACATCTGTGGTCAAAAAACACCTGTAATCTCTTTATACTTTATACCTTCAACCGCCATGCTTCACAGATGCGCAACAGGACAGAGCGAACTGTAGAGCAGCATCATGCACTGACCACTTCTTTGCTTTATTAAAACAGTCTCACGGCAAGTGAACAGTGAATGATATAAAGTCGCTGGGACGAAATACGTAACACATAGCCAAGATACCGAAGCCTGTGTTTCTGGATGACTTCACTTATGGAACGACTATCTTAACCTCGAACAAGTACGCCTAACTTCACCTCAGAATTATTTAGATTTACCAGATGCTAACAGTTCCAAGGAGACAATAGTGATCAAACACACTGAGTCGTCAGACAGTTCAGGTTCAACAGGCGTATAGCAGAAATGCCGGTACAAGCGTGTTGTATACCCGACGTCTGACAAACGGAGTAACTCTACAACAGCGCCATGGATGGCCCAGATAAGGACATGTTAGTTACTCTAGCTTTCGATATATGGTTAAAGGTTTCACCAGTCACACCTCCACCGGCATTCATACGACAACCCAGGTACACAGAATTCTCGACACCTTCCATAGGTCCATCACAAAGAAAAAGTGAGGGCACAGGCTCCAAGCCAGTTTTGTGAAAGTGCTTTACACTGTTCTGCCGAAACGTACATACCATGCCTACCGAAACTGATTCCAAAATTAATAAGTGAAATTTGAATAGCTGGTATGTTGTTGCACAGTGAAACAATATCATCCACAAACTTAACGCAGTAGGTTTACATTATCATCACGCACGCCTTACAGAATCATCCCCAGAATGTCACCGATGATACAGCTGACGAAAAATAGAGAAATCAAGAGGTCTGTTTAACCACATTGCTGGTTTGGAACAATGAAAAGAGGTGACTGTAAACCCTTACTCTACTTTGAGATGTTAATGTAGGGTTTTCGAAGATGTTAACAAACTTCTGAGGAACGACGCTCTCCTAAGGACGCTTACAAAAGTGGAATTACTTTAAAAGAAAACTAAGGGTGGTAAAACCAAAACGTGGCAACAGTTTGGTAAGTCTTTGACTATTACTTTGAGCCTTGTATAGAGGTGGAGGATATCCGGCTAGAGTCATCCAGACAACAGAAACCGGTGTTTGGGAACTTGGTAATACTGCTCAAATCTACTCACAATTACGTATATGCAGACAACCTTTGTCAGCTTCGAGTTCTTGGGTGTTTCTATTAATTACCATCTATTTATTCTCAAACTTCTTAAACACTTTTGTCTACTTTGATATCACGCGTATTCTACGTTCCTCCTTGCATTTTGATGTGGAGTGTGGCAACTTGGACCGATGCACTTTAATGATGAACTCTACGCTGATTTATCTGCCTTCGAAAATTAACCGTAAAAGATGACACTTCTGAAAAATGCAAAACAACGTCTACAAACATTCATGGTTATAATACTCAAATAACAACTTAACACGTAGAACTATACCTGGATGATAGAGAAGTGCACTCTTCTTGTATGCCTGCTTTATCTCATCAAAAGAAGCATTCTTTTTCAAACCAAGTATCTTATAATAATCACGTTGTTGCGATCTGGAAAGAGCAGATTTCGCAGCTTGCAAAGACTTTTTATTTTCCGGTGAAGCATCCAACTTTACCACTTTAGCCCATTCTTCAACTGCTTTCTCGTATTCCTCAAGAGAAGAATAGCTAGATTTATTTAAATCATACATAAAGTATAAAATATTTTCATATCTATATAATGAGTAACTAACACGGTCAGTGAAATCAAAAAGGGTAATTTTACTATATCAAAACGGACAAACAGAAAGTAAATTAAGAGAAATATGGCTTCAGGTTGATATTCGTCACTGCTGTCAACAATCGCAACAAGAAAACAAAAAGAAATGACATCTTTTAGCTGATATGCATTACACAGTGGAACGGTCCTATTTACTGGATTATTTTCGGATACAACTTGTGTGTAATTCCATGTGTAACTATGCGATAGGATGGGACAGAGTGAAAATCCATAAAAGTAACCTAGCGGGGTGGAGGAAGAGATTGATAACTGTATCTTTGTTTATCGAATAAACACCTAAAACATACAACAGGAATGATTTAGCACCTAATCCAGATACATAGAAAATCCTACTATCTGTATCACAAAGGTGGCGAGAAAATTAGATATATACAAACCATGCCTCAAAGTTGTAGAGTTATCTCGATGTGACTACGGATAATAAATTGTATCTGAATGATAATCCAGTGGATAAGACTGTTCCACTGCGTAGTGCATTTAATATGTCAACTAAAATGGAATTACATTCTGCCTCAGCGACCAAGTTTTACTCTTAAGTTAAGAAATGACACCTGTGGTCAGAAACCTGTATAATCTTCATATCTCGTAGTTTCGACGTCCATGTGTCATAGCCGTTTAACAGGACAAAATAAACTGCAACGCAGTATACTCATCCTTTAATACGTAGTCGGATATCTTGTCAGTTGGCGCCCGATATGACGCTAGGTGACAAATGCCAAACACGCCATCTGTATCCGAGCTGAGATGGCGGCAGAGACAAGTCCGTTTAGGCTGATTATAGTTCCCAAGTAAGTGAAGTGGTCGATACATTCCGCTACCTCACTCTATATCATTAAACTGAGAGTAGTTGCAGATCAACCCTGCAACACCATCTTACATTTGACAGGGGCCAGCAAAACGTATGCCAAACATACGCAGATTTCTTCTCAACGCGTTCAGAAGACTCCGCATTGCGTCAACACCTTCACCTACCAAGACAATATCGTCTGCATACTCCAAGTCAACCATATGACCTCCAGGGCGTAGATCAATCGCTGTGAAGTCAGATGTACCTAGGGTAATGCTCACTAGTACGTCTATGACGAGGTTAAATGGAAACGGTGACAGTGGGCATTCCTGACGAACACCACTGGTTGTCGTCAATTCAAATGACAACTCTCCATAAGCCCTGACACGGCTGCGTGGGTTCGAGTAGAGAGCTTTGATTAGCGTTATGTACTTGCTCGATACTCCCATAACACTACTTCACGGTCGATAGAGTCAAATGCCACCTTCCAGCCAAGAAATATGACAAGTGTCGGCCACTTGCTGGCAGGCCATGCCAGTATTCCAGAACCTGTCGGAGGATGGAAACATGACCGATGCACCCTCGCCCAGGTCTGAAACCTGCCTGACTTTTACCAGCTTCAGTTCGGGGTCAGGTGCCCATGGATCCTAGGTTCTTGGACACAATATTAGTCAAACTAATTCCCATATGGTTGCCACAAGATTTATCCTCGTACTTATAAACTGGAGTCATCAGAGAAGTACACCAGTCTGATGGCATTACCTCCGATTCCTAAATACCACTTAGTACCTCCGTTACATCACTCAGTAGTCTCACACCATCCTTGAAAGCTTCTGGTGCCACACTATCAGATCCTGCTGCTTTGCATCGTTTCACATTTGAAACAACCTACTCAACTTCCAGGAAATTTGAAAGACTGGCATTTATGCGTCATTCAGGTTCGGGATGGATGCTGGGCAACTGAAGCATTGCTGTGGGTTTCAAAGTGTTCTCCCCTACGTTCTAGCCGTCTTTCCTGAGAGGTTATTAGCCTCACATCCTTTGCAGTGATGGGCTCACTCACCACCGTTTTCCTCTTGCCAATATCCTTAATAGGCTTGAATAATTGCTGCATATCACCTGATGTTGATGTCTTCGCTATCTCTATAACTTTTACTACGCACCATTGCCCGCTATTACTGTGGCGACTGTTATTCAATTAAATTTTCAACAGCTTTAGTACCACTTTGTGGTCAGAGCCAAACAGAATGAGTCTTCTCCCACTTATAAGTTTGGGTGAAGTTGCGCAGATCCGTTAACGTTAACTAACGTTTGGATGTAGGTCACCCCCTATCTTTACGGCTGTTGCTACAGCAGACTAAATATTACGCCAAGTTTTCAAAGGATAAAGACCGGTGTCACGTTAAGATAAGTGTTTGGTTATCTGCTTCCTAAATGAGAACTTCAAGTTCTCGGTTTTTGATCGAACACACGGAGGCTTCGCTACCGCCTGTCTTCTGCGACCAGTAAGTTGTAGACACCCGTACCCGTTATAACGTGTGATTGGAGTTTAAACAGACACTCCACAGTATGCAAACCATGCCTGAATTTGATGTTTTGAACACATTTCGGGTATTGGGTAGATGATATTCATGTTGGTATTTATATCTCCCAATGAATGTAAAAGTACATTTATTGGGTAATGCAAATACCGAAATAATTAATTTTACTTCAATTCAGTTTGCAGTTTTAGCAGTACCTGGAGACCTCGCCATAAGAGATATGGCTAAAGATCGTGTAAAAGGACAAGGATTTGATTGATGGTGGGATTTAGTCAGTTAGCGACTAAAAAATATAGTGTTAGCTGCTACCGATTGTCTCCAACCGTTCGACACCAATTCCCTCCAAGAAACTATGGATAGTACGGTATTATAATTAACAGTTGTTTATGTCACAGAGCTAAGTCAAATGGATAAAAAAAAAGTATAAACGTATTCCCGTGAGTATGTTGTTTTTATACAAAAAAGGTTCAGTGATCCATTTATTACTAAATAAGTACATGAATCAACAGGTTTGCACATCAGTTATCAGTTACAAGCTATGAGAGATAAAAACCCACGTTTAAAGTGAAAAAATTTAATATCAAGCCAGCAAAGAATAAGCGGAAATGCAAGTGTATGCATACCAACAATTATGAGAAATAAAAGAGTCAAACCATGTTACACGACACAATCTTAGAAACTCCACACGAAAGCATTCTGCAAAGGTTCCCATCTTTAAACCAAGCTAAGTAACTATATGATACCTACACAGTTTGTCGTATGTCTACAGAAATGCTACTCTCAGAAAAAATCTGTGGTCAAATTGCCACGTACAAGTGAAGACGGATACAGTACTGTAGTGCTGTGGCTCAAGGTATACAGGGAATTAACTTTCAACCAGCGAGTTACATGTTCGAACCCTGCCCAACTAACAAAGGTTGGGCAATCAGGTAGCATCATTAGCCCTCATAAACTAGGTATGGTGCGTTGCCTATCGCGAGAATGTGCACAAGGTAGCTGCGTGGATTTTGATTTTTTCCGGATATAATACTAACATCTGCAGAAGCAGATGTAGGTGGGAAGTTTCAGTGAATGATTGCACGGTCAAAGTGCTTAAACCTGAACCCACCCCTATCTTGGTAAGGGTTAGCACAAAAATATCTACAAAGTAATATGAATCCAAATCCCTACTTAACCATCCAGCACCTGGCCATTTGGAATTCACGGCCAAATGACTACTAGACCTACATGTAAATGAGATATTGTAAGATAAATTCAACTCACCATTTAGCTCGACGAATTAGAGCCTTTAAATAATTTGGTTCCAAAGAAAGAGCGGTATCACAATCTTTCAGCGCTTCATCAAAGCGATCAAGCTAAAGAAAAATTAAAGTATACGTAATATACACTTACATAAAATAAAGCACAAGCTCGGTTGCAATACAACTTCGCATTGATCACATCATGGGATGGATCTACCTCCAAGGCTTTCGAATACGCTTCAAATGCCTTCGAGTATCTGTGATCATGAATAAATGTATTGCCCTCTTCTTTAAGTTTCAGGAGATTCTTTGCACGTTTGTACACCTTCTGTGTTTCTACATGGTCTGGATGAAGGCGCAGAACATGTTGGAAATGACTAATCGCTTTATCTAAGTGGTCCAAATAATACAAACATAATCCTCGGTAGAAAAGCAGATCAACTGATGTGTCATGTGACTGCAATAAGTTCCTAAGGTTGAAACAGGATATTAAAAGTATTATGTGAACATACTCAACCAAACATTTGGCTTCTGTGAATCGTTTCAGTTGGATAAGCACATTTAGCTTTTGTAAATTGAAATCCAGTGAAGCAGGAGCTATTTCAATACATTTTGCGATTAAATAAAGAGCCTGTTAAAACGAATTCAACACTATAGAAAACACAATTTACGTGTCTAAAGTCAGATGAAGACAATTTGTCTTCAAATGACTGATGTGTTTCTGACAGTAGTTTAATCTTCTCAAGCTAGACATATTTCATCAGTAGAAATTCAAAAAGTTATTACCAATGAGGACAGTTCACTGTTATGCGGCTCCAACTGCCTAATCACTGCACACAGACGTTTAGCTTCATTTAAATCACCTAAAGTAAGACAGCATTTTACGCAGCGCAGTAATGACTTCACGTTCTGAGAATCTAAACTGATGCTTCTATTATACAAACACACTATCCAAAACGAATAATAATAAGACCTGCTGGCGTCTTTATAAGCATCCAAAGGTTTATTTATCATGAGATAAGCAGCAGAACGATTATTGTACAAGAGTGCATTCGTACTGTCGATATTTATGCCTTTTGTGTACCACACAATAGCCTCATCATACAGCCCTCGCTTATAGCAGGAATTTCCTTGGTTTTTATATTCTTCAGCCAATGATCGTTGGACCTCCATCAGACCTGGAAAGCAAGATATAGGTATAATTTTGTTAGTAAAAAAGAAGGTAGTGAAATATTCTTACTTACACAAAGTTACGACAAGCAACCATTCTAGTAGCAAATACAGAATTGTATCAGTTCAGACTATTCTATTTTGGAACAACACAAAAAACACTCAAGAAACACATTGTAATGAGAAAGACGGATGCAAATGGTCAAAAGAAGATAAAGAGGGCATCGGCAAGGTGCTGATTCCGAAAGATGACATTTAAGGTATTCAAACAGACTCCATAAACAGATTCCATAAAATGTACCTACCGGTCTCTTGAGCTAGACACAAAACTTTATATTTGAAAACCGTATCAAGCATAAGCTACGCGATTGAAGTCATTACAACAGTAAGAACAACAAACATACAAGAAACAACTGTAGAAAACAAATTGAATAGGAAAGGAAATTCAGACGCCTGAGAAGCGGGATAATTACTGAGAGTGGAAAGTAACAAGAAAAAGGATGAAATAAATGGACCTATAACCTATTTTGAACCTCAGGTCAGATTAACAGTATCCCATTTATTTTACATGATAAAATGCTTAGACTTAATATTGAAAATTGCTACTTCACCAAGTATTACAGTTCTATGCACTATGATACTCATTTTACTTCAGTCGCCATATCTAGTATCAACACATCAAGGCAGACGGCATAAAATAAGAAAGTATTCATACGTGACCAAAAGCAAAGAAACGAAAGCGAAAAAGATTAAAGATTAATAGAATTCAGCAACACAACTAAGATGAAAATAACGTGTGGATATATCTGCACTATTGAGATCGATTCTGAGTTATATCGCCTATAGTCTCCAACTACACGGTACTGCAGTCATGAGGACGTCGACCACAAAGTTTACACTTCTCTCAGAACAACAGTAAGATGCTTCATGTACTGATGACATGTTTTAGTCTGGCCGCCCCTAACCTTTTTCCAGTCTAAACCTACTTCAGCTAATATGGCGTGACGACGTGTGCGTAACACATGCCTCAGCCACCTCAGTCGATGGAGGTTCACATACTCATCGATCAGTTTTCATCTCCGCCTAAAAGTGCTACCGCTGGCTTTCACGTTAATAATGTGCTGGTTCAATGACAGACGGTCTATGCTATGAAAGCAATGATAGTTAAACATCTGACGCCTTGTCATTTCTTCTACATGCAATGGACGTGTTTGATAGCCGCATAGTAGGAGAGAGTGGACTGCTCAGTACTACACTCGGTCTTTAACGGACAGTCAGATATCACGACGGTACCATAAATGGTGTAAGTCGACGGAAGTCAATCGAGCCTTCTGTAACCATGCACAGATTTCGTTTGCCGCTGAAACACCAGGGACGATCCGACTTCCATGGTAAGTGAAGTGTCCAAAGAACTCGACCACTTTATTCTGCACTGTTAAACAAGACTCTATGAAAGACCAGTCCTGGATACAGAAGGTCTGTTTGGCATTCGCTAACTTGCGTCACCTGTGGCGCCGACTGGCAAGATATCCGAGTATCTATCAAAGGACGAGGATACTGTGTTGTAGTCTGTCCTGTTACATGGCTGTAAGGCATGGCAATTAAAAGTAGAAGATATGAAGCGATTACTGGGTTTTAATCACATATGTCTTCGTCGCACTGCTCGGGTTTAGTGGAATCACCGTGCGAGAAATGTTGAGGTCAGGCGAAGGGTGCTACATAAGATACGTAAGTCAGTTGATATTTTGAATTCTAGTCGATAAAGATGGCTTGGAAATGTACTGTGCATGCCGAGCCACCCCCTACCTCGACGAGGGTTCAGGGTAGCCAGACGAGGAAGTGGCACCAGTTGAAGTCTCTGAATGTTGGTCTGAGTCGTGTGGGGAGAAGCAGACTCCTTGTTTGGGGTCGCCGTGACGAAAGGAATCAGTGGTTGAGGACTCTTGGTGATATGGCTAGAAATCTGTCACAATGGTGCATATGTATTCCCTCATTGACATCTAAAACTTGAATATTCACACTAACCGTTATTTTCAGATCATTTCTTCTCTTACATAATCACTCTTTTTTATCCACCTGTTCTTTGTATACCACTGTGAACTGTAGAAATTTGAGCCGGTGCACCTGCGTGCAAGGTTCTACGTCGATTTTGTCAGGCGGTCAGTCCTGGAGCAACAATTTGCAACTGAGTGGCAAGAAACCCATCCCAAACATTTTCAAATTGCTACTCAATGTGTAGGGGAAACTCTACATCTTGTAGGTCTTCACCTAACAGGCCTATGTCATCTGGGTACTCCAGGCCTACCAAGGATTCTGCTGATGTCAATCCATGTGAAGTCAGACGACGAGAGGGTAAAGTTGGAGAAAAATGGAGAGTGGATACTCAATGTAAACAACTCACCTGACAGCCCACTATATTCTCTAACACGTTCATGGGTATTCGAGTACAGAGAGACTGTTATAAGATTTGGCCGTCGATGGAGTTAAATACGCCCACCAGTCACTTCTTGGGAATTTTTGAACTAGATTTCGTCCTACATCTGTATCTTGAAAACATTTGCCACTAGCAGAATAAATCTGTACATCACAAGTGATTTTTTTAGGGCCGACGTTTTCCAACTAGTGCTCAATTCGCTCGAAGTCCACTCCACCTACCAAGGTTGGGGCAACCAAGTATCATCGTTAGCCCTTGCATGATAGATATGGCTTATTCCCTAGTGCCCGAGGGTGAACATGGTCGGCAGGAACCTTTTAATTTTTATTGACAACTCAAGCTATCCACAATAGAAAGCTAACTACTTTCACTCTGGCCACTATCCGACGAACCTTTCCAGCGTACCTTGTCGGGTTACTGTTATATACGAGGCTGATCAGCATGTCAATGTTGCGATTCATTTTCATAACAGAAACACCGTTCAGCAAGAGCGCCACGAAATGGCCCACACAAAATAATATAAAATTATGGAGACATAAAGCGAAACGGAGTGGACAAATAAAAAGAAAAACACTGTAAGAACAGAATGATTAGAAAGGCACTCCAGTAAAATGCATTCAAAACAAATCATTCATTACTTTGCAGCAGCATAAGATAGAAGGAAGCTACAGTATGACCGCTACTAGTCTCAATCCTGCACCATATCTGATAACAACTCAAACCACCAAGTGATTTCTCGGATCCTACTCAGGGAGCCGTGATGCACCAAAAGATGCTGACGCGATACAACTATCCTTCATCTCACGGTGGCATGTCATACACTGACCATCCCTCCACTTCTTCTATACAGTCCCAGGGTTAGCAAACAATGAACAGTTTGGAAGCCGTTGGGACGACATGCGTAACACATATCCAAGCCAACGAAGCCAATGTTTTCAGATAACTTCACTTATTGAATGACGACCTCCATCATGCTCAAATACACGATATCGTACCTCAGAATTACTTACATGGTGTTGGCACTGTATACCAGCAATCCAACAGAGCCAACGATAATCGGGTCGTCGAACATCATCATCTTGAAAGCCAGCTTTCATAGATGTAGAGCAGCACTTCTCGCACTGAATTGTAGTAAACCTGACGTTTCACGGTCACACTAACGTTGTGACGGCACTAAAGGCAGCCCAGATTGATGTATGCCACCGTGGATTTCGATATGCGGTTGGAAATTTCACCACATACCTCTACCAGCACTCACACAAGAACCCAGTTACTCGAACTTTTCGACTACTTCCAGCGGCTCACCATCAAGGGTGAGCGAAGGCGCAGGCTCCTTCCAATCTTCAAAAAGTAATTTGCACTTCAATGATGCAAAGCATATGCCATACTTACGAGCATTAATTGCCAACTGACTCGAGTAGCCCGTGTGTTATTGCACAGTAAGACGATGTGGTCCGCATATTCAAGGTCTAATAGCCGTTCTACGGGTAGTGGATCTACACCGTTATCACGCACTTCTTCCAGAGCTGTCACAAGAATATCACTGAAGAGTGGAGAGACCAGGCAGACCTACCCGAACCCAACTGCTGATTTGGAACAATGGAGACAGGTAGTTGCATACCCTCACTCTACCTGAGATGTTAATACAGGCAGTCAACATTTTAGCCGGGAAACGTGGGGCAGTTTTTCAAATACGGGGCATATCGATGGAAAACGCGGGGCGCTTTGAGGTTAAACGGGAAGAAGAATGCGGGGGTGAAAAAACTAGGGGAAATCTTGCAAAATTGAGCGTTATGTCCTGAGTTGCATTACAAACTGCAACATGCCCCTTGTTTTACCCGGCATAAATGTTGATTAGGTATAAGTTCTCCAGGACGTTCATAAGATTCTCAGGCATGCGTATCTTCAGCAGAGTACACCTCTGTGAAAGGAATCGAAGGCAGCCTAAATGTCAAGAAACAAGATTGTTGGATTGCAAAAGGATAGGCTATGTCTACGTATCCATACGTTAAAATTACCGAGCGAAATTACTTTAGTGTCGAATCAGATATGTCTGTCTAGGTGCACACATGAATTTTTGTAGACCTGTAGTCATCAGTGATTGCCCAGCCAATATTTTCGCAGAGCTGTGGGGCGACATCAATTTCTTTGACACGAAGTAGTACGCGGAACACACGGCTGGCGTGGGATGAAAACTTGAGACGAGGTTAACAGGGGAAACATGGAAAACGGGACTCAGGAAAATCTTTGAAGTTAATTCATCTTAACACTTAACCTTACTTCTAATAACTCCGCGTCCTTAAGACAACCACCTCATTACAAATAGGCAGAAGATAAGTGACTACGGCATGCATGCCACAGCTTTAAGAAAATGTTTTGCCGACGTTCAGTTTGACAATGTTTTGGAGCTGGAAATGCAATTGTTATTAACAAATAATAACTAGGTGTCACAAAATTCTAACCTATGAGCCATCGCTTGAACACTGAATATCTAGGTCAATAAGCGACGGCTACAATTTAGGATGATTTAAAGAATAGCCACAAGAATCAACAAAAGCATAAATGATTTCACAAAACCAAACAAACCAGATACATAGCGGGTTTAAAACGGCATGAAATCGAAATGCACTCAGCAGCCTTGTGCACATCCGTGCAGTAGGCAATCAGCCACGCTTATTGTGTGAGGGCTACTGATACAACCTAACTGCCTAAACCTCGACAGGTTGAGTGGGGCTCAAATCCGTGACGTAGTCATCTCCCCAAACCAATAAGCCATAGCTCCACAAGGCATGAAATGCACTTATTAAAAGTGAGGCGCAGATATACAGAGTAACTTACAAGTGAAGCATTCAAAAGATTCACAGAAATGTTCTCGTGAGAAGCTTACGAAACTTCGTTTGTGCAAATAACCTACTGAGGCTATCCCTTAAAAGATGGACAGCTGACCTGAATGCATTTCAATTAGCTGACACATCAACACCTACAGTATCTTGGAAAACGTCTGGAATACACTAGCCAGCTTCGGTTGTGTATAAGTTATAATACTGTTTCTGTCGATATAATCGCCGAAGAGCGGGAAAGCGAGCCACAAAAGAGAGCGTTTCCACAATACAGGCTGTTGACATATGCCTGACTTTTCTGTCTCATCAGCTGAACTCTGATTTTAATACTATGCTCTCATGTTAGCCCACATCTTAGCCACCAAACGTTTTGAAAAGTGTCGCCCTTTCGACCGATTATGAGGTCGAAGATCAGTCAGAAAGCCCACGTAACCGGGAATTCAAACGTTCCAGTGACTTCTTTCACAGTGAAAAATTAGCAGTGGTCTCGTACTTATCTAGAGGTTGGCAAGAGGATCGGTACTTGATACTCCATACCTCACTTCTGTTGACAAATTCTAGGCATATATACATTATTTATGCAGGATTTTGATAAATGCCCATTCCTCATTTTGTAATTCCAAGAGAAACGGCAAAACCCTTCAGCGTTTCAATCAGGGGAAGCAAACATTTATAACTACTAGCGACAAAAGGTGGTGGTTCGAACGAAGGCAAACTCAGTTTAAGACAAAAGAACAAACTATAGTGACAGGTTGTGTGTGTGTGTCGATTGGAGCTTAAACAGATTCCTGAGTGCCGAAAAAGTTCGAGATATCTGGGGATCATTTAAACCTAACACCGCCTCCTAGCAGCAACAAAACAAGATAACTTGGATCCTATGTCTCTTATCGCAAAATCTTCCTTTCCACGAAGCCACACATCTTGCTTGAATGCAACTGACCTGAAAGCATAAAGAAAAGTTGTCACCACTTTTAAGGTCAACGCAAAGATAAAAAAATGGTGACCGTAGGCCAGCAGCTAGCCAAATGACCGTGAACAACCAGTCAGACTCAGTAGGCGTTCACCAGTCATATCACCAGCAGTGGACGGTACCCATATACGCTCATTTATCTTCGCAGACCTTAACACGACAATGACAATGCAGAATAAATAAATTCAATTTCATAAAACTGTTGGAACTCCACTGAAGGTTTCTGAGATCCTCTCGAGAACAGAACACAACAGATACGTGGGTCACCTTAATCAGTACTAGTATGGCTATTAATTCTAGTTACTACTGATATCCCAATCAAAAATTTGGAAACTTCGGTATTCGTAAGAAAAATATACTGTGCGAATATTCGTTTTCCCCTGTACTTTTATCACTTTACAACAGCCTTTCATCAAAGAGATACCATCTTTACCGTTGCCTATTTAGTTGGTCACTCGGTGGATGATTAATTTTTTCAGGCCATTCGTCAAGTCATTGGCTTGAGATCACTACCATTCATCCCCGTCCGGTTCTCCTCTGATACTAATACCAGTGATACTTGTTACTTACTAGCAAGTTTGGGTCCACTTTGAGCATTACAGTCAACATACTTCAGACGCACTTAAGAGATGCGGGGAGTACCCTAAATGTTCTGTTAGAAATGCATCGTAGGGACTTTTAAGCGTGCAAAAGCACTGCCACATTGGAAGGACGCTGCATCATATAGCATTCCAGAACACAGCCTATTAAACTGAGGCAAAGTGATTTCTCATAATCTTTGGCCGCACTACCAAGGCTTTAGGAGATTAGGGACTGTTGACAATGTCGGGAACAACGTGGAACACAGCTCAGAACCTTCTACAGTTCTGGAGGAAACCACTAGATTTTATATAGAAGATATTGCTCACCTCTAGGTGCACCTCCATGACTTTCGAGGGCTCCTGCCCAAAACTTACTGTGCACTCACTGTAAATGCTGGCTGGGTGAGCACGATCTGTACGACAACGAGAAGGTTCTTGAGTACGACCTATCTGTACTACATGACTCTAACCTCTTTTTGAAAGCATGAGGAAAAGGGGCTACGACGACTTCTCTAGGAAGGGGATTCCGGTGCTTACAGAGGCCAACCGGAAACAAACCACGACACTAAAACCACGTTGTTTTGTATCCGGATTAAAATGTGCACTATTATTAAAGTGTACTACTGTGAAGCAATCAAGTAAAAAGTCTCACTATCCTGCTTCTACCATACAGACCTACTTCAGACGAGGACCAATCAGCTTGCTCGAGGATCGAATAGCCCTCCTTTTTTCCAGACTATATTGGCTCCCTCCAGTAATGAATACCATCACAAGTGTAGAAATATCAGATGTTACTGGCTAGTGTACTAATTGACTTATGTCTCCTTTTTAAATTACTATCACTTTGAAAGACAGTCATTCTTCAATTTATCATAGGCTTTTCGCTTTCATACATTTGTCGATCTAGCCATCTCAATTGTGCAGATATCCTCCGCACACACACGTCCCCTACCTCTGACCTGCAAATTGCTGAAAACGGACGTACATGAAAGATTTTATACAGTTTCAGAAAAGGCTTCAGATGAATGAGCTTCCGGTTGTCTAACACCATCAAGTGTGATGACAAATTATCTCCGAAAACATTGATGTTGAACTTAAAATTTTTAACGGACTTATGAAGCTGAAGATACGTAGTCAGGTTTCCATACCACTGAGGGCGTGGTCGTGTTGGGTTGTGTTTCTCTCCCGCGACCCCCTCATCAGCTACTTCATGTGTATCAGCATACTGGCACGATATGACAAATATGTGACGTCTGCTTAATTGCTAGGTGGTGTTCTTTCTTGACCCCGCATCTAATAACTGCAATGAGTTCATGGTTTCCCCTTGCGATTCAGCAGAACATGCTAAGCAACCTCCGAGCTGATGTACCTGCTGCCTTTCGTGCTCGCACACTTTCCCAGCACTTTCAATTCTCATAAGTCCGTGCTATATATTCATGTGCAACCAAACCTACAAACTTATTTTCATGAAACACAAAGCACAGTTTGGTCGGCTGCTGGCACTGTGTTCAGGGAACCCAGGGACTGTTTGCTGAAGCTAAATTTTTGACGACAGGGTATGAAAGGCCGTAGTTTTCTAACCCTCCATTTATAACCGTGATTAGAGTGGCAACTGATAGGTACGTCATAGCGCATGTCACTCTCTCCCATAAATGACCCGTGTTGCTTTTCACGTTCCGGTTTGCCACAGATGCTTCTGATCTTCTACACTTATTCTTGCACTTGACTACTTTGTGATGAGGTGATATCAATTCACGTGAAATTTCTAACGAGATCACCATTTTCAAGCGGATGTAGCAAGCTCTAACTTCACATCCATTGCACCGAAATAGATGACAGTCTTTAGGTTGCTTAACACTACAGAGTGGTTCATCACCATGTAGTTTAGGCGGTAGACTTATAACACTGTAGCGCCACACACTTCTTCAGAATGAATAACCTGGGGTTCAGAGAGATTCAGCATTGATGCTGACCTTCATAGTTTAACTGGACTCTCTAAGCTGAAGGCACCCGATGAAGCATCCAGGTCAGTTAGCGCGCTATCGCGTTACGTTGCACTGCTCGCAATCGACCATTTAGCCAGTTGGTTGAAGACCACCGGTATCTTGGCACGACCTCGCAAACATACTACTCCATCCGACCAACATATCGTATTCTCTCTTGGTCTCGCACTCGTGGGTATATAACAGGTACGAATAGTTAGTGACTGGCCTCGGCGTCTGTCAAGTTCATGCCGAGACAATCCGTAAAATATAGTGCAGAATAGCATGTCATGTTCTTTGTAACTGCGTGAACCAGGACATCATTTGCTTAATTTTTCGGGGGAGCAGGATTCAATGAAAAAGTTGCTTTTTTGAGTCTGGCCGTGCACAGCACTGTCTCGAGAACTGGTGTCACTCTCAAAGGTGAAAGGAGCTTAGCTTCTGATCGGAGGGCGTTTTCGTTATCCTGATCGGCCGAAGCTCATCTAGCGCTGACTTCCAACGCTTTACAGATTCTCGATAAAAATTTGTGCAATACCTTCGTTCACTGTACTACATTTTCACCCTAAAGTATGGCTACCGTTTGTTCAAATTTGTCGCCGTACGTTTTTCTTGCAGATTATAGGTGGTAGTTCATAACCAAGTGCAACTAAGAGTGTAGCCAAGGTATTCACACCCAAATCGCCGCCTATGATTATTTGTTAAAGGAAACGAACATTGACAGTTTGTTGTTCGTCTTTTGTTGAATACACAGTGACTGTTTTCCCATTAAGTGCAATTCGCTACTTTCTTAGGAAGCGAACTACATTTCCAGGAAGACGAGTTTATTCACTCGGGGTTCCCAATTTCGATATGAAGGTGGTGGAAACAAGAATTTAGAGGCAAAAAATGCACAGAAAAACCCCTCTGTTGCCGAATAACTGTACGCTTTCCTCAGTTTTATAAGTGATAGACCTTAAACTTTTGCACCCTAATTCGTCCCTTGCCAGGAGATGCTCTGTGGAATGGGCTCCGTGGTATTTCTCACGCTTGAATCAGATATTTCTATAATGTGCTGAATAAGTCGGACTGGCTTTGCTCTGGCGCTTTCGGTCTTGGTTGACCAAAATATACACCTCACAATAAAGTTTCTTTTCCCAGCCAACACTGCTGCAGTTTGAGAACCTCGAACGACGACTCTTGGTTCGGCTCAGGATTTTCGGACGAAGAAGGTTCGTTTCAACAAGTCATTTATTTTAGTCCAGTTTGCACAGAATATACAGTGCTGTTTTTGTACTACAGAACGTTAGTACCAGTTAGGTGTCAGCCTTCGTAGGTGGGTTGGAAGGACATTCTGCTTGTTGTGACCCACATATGAAGTGTTCTCTGGGTGCCAAAGTTAGGGAAAACGCTGGCGCCCTGTAGTTTGCAAAGCCTATGATATCTGCATCTTCAATATAATGTTGACAATGAAGCATGGAACAGCACAAAACAGCCGATTAGTCATCGTTAAACTGCTCCAATCGCCAAACCAGATGAATCTGTGGCAGTCCTCAAACGTAGTTCGGATGGTTGAAAATGGGCCTGCTTGCATTTTTAAGAGCTTTTCCAAAATTAGACGCTTCAGTTACGCCATAATATCCGGAATCACAAACTTTGTATTTCGAAGAAGAGACGGACGACTGACATCATAAGGAAGATGTAGTTGGAAACATTTGTTCGCTACCAGACAACCAGGCCGTTTAAAATGCAGAAAAGCTTCTCAGTGGTCGGTTCTGGGCAGCCTGAAATAACCTGCTCTTCATCTGTCGGTTGACCTACACCTTTGTTGCCAACCGAATGTCGGGGAAAGCAGAGCGACTTGACTCCTGACCTAAGTCGCCGAATGCAAACCACGATATGATGCTCTTCTGGTCTGTTGAGCGTGACATCTAAGCGTCCAGGGTGAGCTTCCGCATCCAAACTTCCAACCTCGCTTCCATGCGCAAATTTCAGACCACTGAAGATTTGAAGCCTGGAGAAGGCCATGCTTCACTCTGAAGACCAAAAGGCATGCTACGCTTAGTGTTCATTTTGGTGACCTACAGTGGAATCTATGATGCACATTCCATCCTATTTGGGACTCGTCAGCTGGATGTACCCGCACCCCAGTGAGTGATGCTCAACTGCTACTTGACCCAGTACCGACCCCTCCAAATGCCAGTGCATTATCCACTGAGGCGCGAGAGCCACCTCTTATACACCAGGTACCAATTGTTGTTTATTGATATTTGTAGTTTCCCGTTGCTGCACTGGGCTGAACTGCTCCACCTTTATTGGGAGATGGGCTCCTATACGGATGCTCCAAACTGTCGAATATTATGCTTTATTCACCTTTATAATTTGCGGATTGATGCACATTTCGTCCCATTTTCGACTCGTCGGCAGAGCAATTCGACCCTGCACAGCAACCGGCAAATCGCAACCTGTGAACATTGAGTTTGACTCTCAGTGAGAAATTTCACGTGAATTGATATCACCTCATCACAAAGTAGTCAAGTGCAAGAATAAGTGTAGAAGATCAGAAGCATCTGTGGCAAACCGGAACGTGAAAAGCAACACGGGTCATTTATGGGAGAGAGTGACATGCGCTATGACGTACCTATCAGTTGCCACTCTAATCACGGTTATAAATGGAGGGTTAGAAAACTACGGCCTTTCATACCCTGTCGTCAAAAATTTAGCTTCAGCAAACAGTCCCTGGGTTCCCTGAACACAGTGCCAGCAGCCGACCAAACTGTGCTTTGTGTTTCATGAAAATAAGTTTGTAGGTTTGGTTGCACATGAATATATAGCACGGACTTATGAGAATTGAAAGTGCTGGGAAAGTGTGCGAGCACGAAAGGCAGCAGGTACATCAGCTCGGAGGTTGCTTAGCATGTTCTGCTGAATCGCAAGGGGAAACCATGAACTCATTGCAGTTATTAGATGCGGGGTCAAGAAAGAACACCACCTAGCAATTAAGCAGACGTCACATATTTGTCATATCGTGCCAGTATGCTGATACACATGAAGTAGCTGATGAGGGGGTCGCGGGAGAGAAACACAACCCAACACGACCACGCCCTCAGTGGTATGGAAACCTGACTACGTATCTTCAGCTTCATAAGTCCGTTAAAAATTTTAAGTTCAACATCAATGTTTTCGGAGATAATTTGTCATCACACTTGATGGTGTTAGACAACCGGAAGCTCATTCATCTGAAGCCTTTTCTGAAACTGTATAAAATCTTTCATGTACGTCCGTTTTCAGCAATTTGCAGGTCAGAGGTAGGGGACGTGTGTGTGCGGAGGATATCTGCACAATTGAGATGGCTAGATCGACAAATGTATGAAAGCGAAAAGCCTATGATAAATTGAAGAATGACTGTCTTTCAAAGTGATAGTAATTTAAAAAGGAGACATAAGTCAATTAGTACACTAGCCAGTAACATCTGATATTTCTACACTTGTGATGGTATTCATTACTGGAGGGAGCCAATATAGTCTGGAAAAAAGGAGGGCTATTCGATCCTCGAGCAAGCTGATTGGTCCTCGTCTGAAGTAGGTCTGTATGGTAGAAGCAGGATAGTGAGACTTTTTACTTGATTGCTTCACAGTAGTACACTTTAATAATAGTGCACATTTTAATCCGGATACAAAACAACGTGGTTTTAGTGTCGTGGTTTGTTTCCGGTTGGCCTCTGTAAGCACCGGAATCCCCTTCCTAGAGAAGTCGTCGTAGCCCCTTTTCCTCATGCT